TATAGGTTTGTTTTTGTTGTGTAGTACTTAGTACGACTTCATAAATCGATTTGAAATTGAAAGAGTATATTTGTTCTGACTTTGAGATATTTCACAAGCAAAAAATAGCCTTGTGTTACCTAGTTTGTGAAATGTGCAAAAACCAAGTTAATTCATTTATCTCACTATCCTCATGATATACCTTGGTGTTTGAAATTTTACAGGATCCTACATTGGCAGAAGCTACTAGACCGTGCAATTGCCACCCAACCTACAGGTGCAGCTCGAACCAACCAAGTGGTGCAAACCTGCCTCTACGCCATAGTCCAGGAAACATTCGACCTCTACCGTGACATATCAGATGGTCTAGCCTTATTACTAGACAGTTTCTTCCATTTACAGTACAACAATTGTGTGAGCGCATTCCAAACTTGTGTTAAAGCCTCTAAGCAATTCAGCGAACTTGCCACCTTCTACGACTTGTGCAAGAGCATAGGAGTTGGTAGAACCTCAGAGTATCCTAGTGTCCAAAAAATATCCGAAGAATTGGTAGAGACCTTACAAGAGTTCCTTAAGGACCAGTCTTCTTTTCCTGGGACTATCGGTCGTAGAACACCTGGAGGAAGTGGACACTACCTCCCCTCACTTAGCCCAAACTCGGAGTCAGACTCCGTGAGGAGGTCCGAGTATGGTGAGTCCCAATGCACCTCCCTCGAGGACCTTATAGGTGGGGATCACGGGTTTAGCCCCAAGAGGTATTCGGACCCTGGTAGGGAGAAGCCACCACAACTTGAAGAATCATATAGTGCAAATGACACTGCTTCAGTAAGATCTGAACCAATTGATCATCGAGGGATCAACTCGGTGTTGGATCTTTTATCATTAGACGATCCATCTCCTCCCACCGATCTTCAACAGCAAATCGTCGAGGAGTCTAACAATGAAGGACTAACTTCGCCCTCAGAAGAGTCAGGACAAGGTTGGGAGTTGGTTTTATTTGAAACAGCAACAAATCAACCTTCAACCGAAACTACTAATAACGATCACAACGTTGATAGTAGTGTTGCAAGTAATAACAATGGGTTCGAGGTTGATTTTTCCAGCGATTTCAATGCTCCTAGTACCTCATTGTATACTCCCCTACCCGACGACCACACCTATAACCCATTTTTACAGGATTCAGTTGATTTAAATAGTCCCTTCGGAGCTCAAAATAGCGAACCCATCAACGAGTTAGGAAGTTTTGGTTATACTAGTTTTGGACCCGGCTGTACAAATGGAAGCTTCTCAGATAGTGGTTTTCCTACTGATTTAGGTGTCAGTGTTGGAAGCGCTACTCCGCAAAGCACATTCGAGGCCGGTTTACCATTAACTTTTCATCCCGAACTTGGCAATGTCAACACCGATAATAATCATCAACTAGACTTGTTCGATGACCCTGGTAGAAGCAGTAATTTCAGTTCCAGCACCAACATATCGCTTGTAACTCACGGTGGACACGGTGAGCACAATCGAAGTCTTTCGACATCTGTTATAGATAACTTCGGCCAAGCTAATACTGCTGGGATGCCTCCTACTTATAACAAAGCCAGTTTTGTACCCACTACTCATCATGCTAGGTTCGCGAGTACTGATTTCAGTTCATCACCCTTTTCGGTTTCATTTCACAATGTGAATGCTAGTATAGGTAAACCAACAATACATCATGCTAGGTACGGGAGTAATCTAAGTACGAATTCATCAGCCTTTTCGGAAAACTTCGATTGTTTTAGCGGATATAGCAGTACAACAGTACCACCAACTTTTCCTGCAGACTCAGGGGATGGAAGTGCAAATGCTATGAATGCAATTGTTCCTTTTGGTCAAGTTGGAAGTGATGATTTCTTCTCTTCCTCAGATCCTAAGCTCCAAGCAACCCCCACATTTCTCGCAACGAGTTTGGATATGGATCAACATCAACAAAGTAATCTATGGAATGAGAATGATCCATTCGGGTCATTTCCGACTACTACAAGTGCTATTGATCCACAAAAAATGAGCGGATCTTTTGATCAACAAAACATAATGCAACAACAACAATTGTGGTTGCAAAATCAGAATAAGATTATGGCTAAACATTTAACATGATCATGATCGATGATAATGAACTTGTATTTTGTTGTACATCTCTTAGCTAATTGTATGTACTATATAGTTTGCTCGTTCTAAGAGAAAGAATCGTTACTTCGTTAGAAAGTCCTCATCACGAGAGGATATAGATTGTTTGTACTATTTCTTGGTATGTAATACTCACCTTGTACCTGTTAATGTTCTTAAACTTCTAACTTTGATGCCTCAGCTCTGTGAAGAGTCTGTTTTCTTATTGTACACAATCAATTGGCAAAAAGCTCTTCGTCAAACTCATCTAAATGTATTGATGAGTTTTTAAATTCGTTACTGCATGTGTTTTGAAATTGTACGAATTCTTTCGAATTGATTAAGTTTATACTACATTTGTTTCTTATTATGTGCAACAAAGGAGTATTGTTTGTGAGACATAATATATGTTTTTTTGTTGTACATAATAAGAAACGGAGATAGTATGATGGGTCTAAGTTTTTTTATTCCCTGTTGTTGGAATGTTTAGACATTTCAAATGATTTTTTAAGTAAAGCTTTGTTGTGGTATACTTGTATCTTCAGACAAGAATGATATACACTATATTTGTACAGGGTGTTTTCCTTAATACATACATGTCTCCTTAATTATTTAATGAAAATGTTTCGATCAATGTTCAAGGCTGTGGCCGAATCGATCTCCGGTCTACAATTTTTTCCAAAATTTGTCTAATTTGACTAAATTTTAAGATTAGTGAACAGCTCTAATCATGTACGAAGTATAAGAAGGTAAAAGCTTGGAATAATGCTTGTCAGGCCCATAAGAGAGGGAAAATAACCTAAAGCCTGAACTTCAAGAAAGATGGTTTGAAAAGTCATATACCAAGCGTCCAAGCCCAATAAATTCTTAAGATTTTAATGCGGAAGGACCCAACATTAATTATGTTCCTTACGATGGCCCGGAGAATTTCTTTGCTCATTTATGTTTTTTATTTTTCCTTTTTTTTTTTAAGGATAATGATATATGTAGCCCTTGGGCTATATATAAACATTATATATACTTTCTAAAATGGAATTAAAATGGAAACTTATGATAAAATCACGCGCAAATCAGTGTGATTAATGTTAATCTATCCTCAATATTTCCTTTTTAATCTTCTTATACATAGGCCTAAGTGCTATGTTTATCATTTTCCTTTTTTTTAATGGTAAGAAAGCTATACTGAGCCAGCGCATCACACAAAGCAAACCAATCTGGAGTAGCGAACAAAATCCCTTAAAAGTGAGAAGGATGAGTGAAAGAATCTCCACCCTAATGAACTCCTAGTGAAATATGATTTCACAACCTCATGATTGTGTGCTTTGATAATTAGATTTGCACAAATTTTTGAATATAGTAGACTATTATTAAAGTATTGTAAGACGGGTTAAAGTTACCCTAAAAGTGTTTACAATTACTCTTATACACTGCAAAAGTTACCATTTTCCTAACATAAATTTTACCCTTAAAAGACACTTATAAATATTATAATGTATTATACTTATCATATTAACATTCATAGCACATATCTATTAGAAATTACACACTAAAATACAATCAAACTCATTATACATGGTAAATTAAAAGTTATCTATAAAAGGATTAAAGTTACTATAAAATTGTTAAGTTACCTTTAAATTAACCGTTTTATAATAAAATTAACGTAAGTCCGTCTTATACAATACTTATTATTAAGTTTGATTCCAATTCATTGCATTTCTCTCTAGGTTTTCTCCTTGGTAGGGTTTTTTGGTTCCCACTAGGTTTTTCCTTGGGAGGATTTTTCTAGCCTCCATTGCTAGATTTTTTTCTACATTTTTTGAAGGTTTTCCTTCACTCTTCTCTTTTTCTCTCTTTCTTTTTCATCTCTTTTCTTCTGATCTCAATTGTATATTTTTGTAGGAGCTTCCACCGATGTTTTTACCTATGGTAAGTCCCAAAAAACTTTTTATTTGCTTTCAATAAATGGAACCCATTTTTATGATGGTGTTTATTTTATTAGGTTTAACTTCTTTGTTTGTTCGTCTGCTAAAGATTGAAGATTTAGAGTTTCACAGTCTCCGAAAATATCTAGAAGGTCATATGAGTTATTTCACCCACACAACTACTCATACGTGGATCTCAAGCCGAATTAGTGCTAACTCACAGATTGTATTGCTTCGGATGAAGATTTTTATTAAGGCGATCGTTGATTGAATCTGCGATGTAACTAGTTCTAAGGTGATTTGTACTTGTGTTGGAATTTTAGATCTCCTAGGAATTCTTTGTAAGTGTCGTTTGACTATATTTCATTAGGAAATCCTTTTTCTTCTTGTAAAAAAAAAAGTTTGATTCAATTCTGATTCACACGGGTATACAAGTCACCAGCGAAGTGATTCTTAAATAGAGAGTACCAGACTAAGATTAAAACTAACCTTACAAAAAATTCTCCTTTCGTATTTTTTGGCAGGTGATTAGGTGAAGAAGGAAGTTTCCTAAGCGTTGAACAATTCAGAGCCATGATCCCCTTTCACCTAATTTAACAATCCCAGCCCAGATTATTGAAACTTTTAGAAAATTTTCTTGTTCCACAAGCTTAAACTACATGGGAGATGGGACCAACACAAATTACACAACTCCCTGCACAGATGAACGAGTTTATAATATGTGCAGCTGCATCAACAATCACTTACTTAAACAAACAATTGCAAGTTAAGAATTAGCCATATATTTCTAGCTCAATGGAATAAATTATTCTAAAAACGAGAAATTTAGACTTTTAAGACTAAAAAAAATGACATTAAATTTGATACTACATCTATCGCATTTGACTGGTGTCATTTAACTCTTTTTATACGTAGTATCATGTATGTGTGGATCAAATAAGACAAGTAAATAAGATGAGGTAAGGGAATAGAACATCAACATTAAGCGCACGATCATAAGCTGGCAAGTTGACATTTCACAAAATAAACACCCACATCCACCCTTTCTAGTTTCTACAACATAGAAATCACTAGGAATACAATACTAATAAAAATAAATAGAAGACTAAAAGTTGTCTAACAAGAACATTTGTCCCACTTTTTTTCAACTTTATATTGGTGCACTTGAATTATTATAATTAACTATGAATCTCAACAGGATACCTGTCAATACAATCCAACCAAGGACTTTTAGGTGACGGCTTAACATTCCTCATCGCTTGCCAAACCGCACTATTACACTTAAATCCAGACCCAAATGCTATTTGCCATACTCTATGCCCTTTCCTCATCCTCCCCTTAGCCTCAATGTACCCAAGCTCGTACCAAATCGAACTCGAAGACGTGTTCCCAAACCTATGAAGCGTCATCCTAGACGCTTCAACGTGGACCGGGCTCAGCTGCAGGTTCTTCTCAAGCTCATCGATCACAGCCCTTCCTCCGGCATGGATACAAAAATGCTCGAACGCAAGCTTGAAGTCGGGAATATACGGTTTGATCTTTACATTAAAAAACTTCCTAGCAACAAGGGTAAAAAAGAACAACAATTGTTCACTTATAGGTAGCACAAGCGGACCAAGCGTAGTAATATTAGTCTTAAGTGCATCCCCGGCTATAGCCATCAAGTCCTTAGAAAGCGAAACCCCGGTCTTACCAATCTCATCTTGTTCTTGATACACACACTTAAACGCCTTATCATCCGCCCCACGATGAGTCCGGACTGTATGAACAAGGCGGTACTTGGCTCGGCTTTTATCCCTAGGCTTATTAGACAACAATACTGCCGCACCCCCTACACGAAACAAGCAATTAGGAATAAGCATTGCTTTCTTATTCCCAAAATACCAGTTTTGTGTAATATTTTCCGTACTAACTACAACAGCATAAGTATTCCTATGCACTTGCAACAAATCTTTCGCAAGATCAATTGCGATAACTCCTGCAGAACACCCCATTCCTCCAAGATTAATACTCTTAATATTACCACGTAACTTATACTTGTTCACTATCATAGCGGACAAAGACGGTGTCGGATTAAACAGGCTACAATTCACAACAAGTACACCAATGTCCTTAACCTTAACGCCCGTTTGAGCAAAGAGATTGTCCAATGCACCAAACATAACCTGCTCGGCTTCCTCCCGCGCCGCCTGCATAGAGGGGCGCGGGGGGATCGAGTGCATTGCTATAGGAACCACTGTGTCTTCTCCTAACCCTGAACGTTCTAGAATTTTCCTTTGAAATTCAAGAGACGAATCGTTGAAATCCCCGGTTAACCGGGAATGTTCGACGAAATCCTTATAAGTAACCCTCAACTGACTTGGTGGATGATACAGTGAGAAATCCACCAAGTAAACGGATCTGGGTCGGGTCATAAAATAAACCGTGGACCCAAATACAATAACAGTACAACAAGTAATAACACTAAGAAGATTATACTTAAGGTGAAGCCAAAGCTGGTAAACGTCGTCGTGTTTCATCTGGGAAACTTCAATTAATATTACCGCCATTAATGGAATTAAACAAAGAGTAATTAAGTGAGTCACTAAATAATGATACCCAAGTTTAACATACTTGAGATTCACTCTATTAAGAAAGTCCGGCAAACGCCGTAACTGGCGGATCTGAACGCCGTTAGACGACGGAGATTGGGTGTTTTCCGGCATGATTTTTGTGGGTTGATTTTGGTTTTTTGAGTTTTTTGGGAGTTTTTGTGCTTATAAAAAACAGAGGAGGAGAGAGAAAATGTGTGTAGTAAAAAGAGAAGATCTAAAGGCAATGGAAATGGAGGAAAAGAGGCGGTGGGAAATGTGATTAAGGTGGTTAATTGAAATGGGTTAGTGTTAATATTGTGACATTCTCACTGATTTTGCGGGGATATATAAAAACAGAGGAGAGAGATTTAGGGTGAGGGAGAAGATCTGAAGGTACTGAAAATGGCTGACGAAGCGAAGTGGGTAAGGTTTGGAAATGGTAGTTACAACCAAATGTATATCCGTAGTAAATAATTACACATTCGGAAGTAAATAACGAGTACATAAATTCTATTCCGGGATATTACAAATTGGTATCGTGGGTTTAATATTTCCTCGTACTGATTTGTGAAAAATATAAAATAAAGAAGTAAGTGTTGCAGAAATTTAAAGTATACCTTTTTAATTGGCTGAAAAATTGATGTTTCTATGCTGGTGAAAACTCCTACTTCCTGTACAATTTCTCTGTTAATTTCTGCTGGTTTTCTGAGTTATGTGGGGTGGACAGAGAAAAGGGGAAGAATGATTGAATGAATGATTGGGTTTAATAATACTGTAATAATCAGGGTGTTTAATGACTAATTAATTGTTTTGATTTGATTTGGGGTTATTTTAATAAGAATGCATTCAATGCAAGAGTTTGAGTGAATTGATTATTTGGAGTTTGAAAAGTATTGTACGCTATATTTGATTTTTAAAATTGTTTTCTATATTTGTACAGCTTTATAGCTAAGCTTAATTTAATTTTTCTTGATTTGTGTACTCTTAGTCCCTTTGCTGAGGGTGACATAAATGGTTTCAAATTTTCAAAGTTTTTTACCTTCTTTTTAATCAGATTAGATATCGGTTAGGTTTTGAATTTCACCTTTAAGAAAATAAAATTCAGTGAAAATAATTTTAATTTAATACTCCGTATTAGTTTAGTATAGGAAAAATCAGCAACCTTAACGAACAAATATAATAGAGAATTTGTTAAAATAAGATTTAATCAATAAAATTATTTCAATTCAATAATATCAATTTCAGCTCACTAAAATTAATTTAAGTTCAACAAAAATTATTATTACAATTCATTAAAAATAATTTCAGTTTAGTAAAAATTAGGTATGAGAACAAGGCCTAAATTTTCAGTAACATCAAAAGTGAGGGAAATCCATCCCTCTCTTTCCTTTTCATCAAGCATATTATTACAAGTATTAGATGAAGTAAATCATATGGAGTATCATAATGGTTATAAAGTAATACAATACGGAATAGAACTACTCCATAACATACATATATAGTACCAAGTTAGAATTCACTTTGTAACCTAGAGATCACAAGATTGACTGTAAAAAAAACTAAGTCCAACAAAAATAATTTAAGTTCGATAAATATTTACATTAAATAATTTTTTATATAGATTTTTTTTTTTACCATCAAGAGACTTGTCTATAGCACTTCCTGAACATGTCAAGTTGTCAAAGCATTTTAACATGCATCTTCCGATAATTGACAACTAAAAAGTGAACGTATATTTCGTAGTTGATAATTAAACATTTTTTTTTTTACTAGAGTAACATCAAACATTTTAACATGCATCTTCCGGTTTTTAATACACGAGCCAGGAAAGGTTATCTAATTTAATACTCCGATAATTGACATATTATAGGAAGAATCACAAATGTGATTTGTTGTCTACCACAATCTCAATGTGGCTAAGCATCTACAGCGAAGTGTGTGGTTTTGAGATCGAGTTGGAAATGTGAACTTCAAATTATTAAGGTTGATTAAGAAATTGAAAAGGCCATTTCCTTACTAATAGGTATTGACAAAAAAAAAGAATATTTTGATTTTTGGATATGTTAAAATAGCTCGCTTGACCACATACTACAAATTTCAAGCTTGACGTTATTACAAAGAAGAATTATTTGGTGTTTATGTCATGCTTAAATTCCACAAAAAAATAAAAAAAAAATTAATAAAATAAAATGTCATGCTTAAAAGTTAAAACAATTTTTTAAAATTGTACCAACGTTTGACTATGGTATTTGATTATTAATTTTAATTTTAAAAATTTTATTTAATTAATTGATAGAAGAGTCATATGACATCATTATTAAGTCATATTTCTATAACCTACATTATATGTTTGGTTGATAATTCAAGTTAAAAAGAATCATCTCAAATTAGCACCTTATTTTTGTAATTAAAAAAATTTACTCGTAGCACCTTATTTTGACATAATACTCAAATTAATATCTCAATTTTCATTTGTATCACATTTTTATTCAAGGTGTTCGTCAAACAATTTTTATTACAATATTTAAAATATATTTTTATTAGCGTCTTACGTATTTTGTAATGTAATATTGCCTAAATTGTATTGACAAACATGAATAAAATATGCAAAAGCTAACGAACGTCTCAGGGGTGTTGGATAAGATAACTAAAAGTAAAAATATTAACTTAAAATAAACATTAATTACACCAATCGACGCATGATTTTGACATGCATTCTCAAATTAATGTCATTTTAGAAACTACTCCTATATCTTAAAGGGTTATCTAACGCATCAGAGGCATTCGTTAACAAAATCTAATAAAATAAAGTATAAATGGAAACGCTTGGTCTAGTAAAATTGCTGAAAAGAAATGGATAAAGTAGAAATATTCAACGCCTCAAAAGTAAAAGCTACTCGAAATAGCGAGCATATTTACTGTACAATTTTGATTATTCTGGGCTTTTAAGTTTGGGTACTCCAGTCCACAGAAAATTTAAACATGTACGGAGTAGACCTTTACGTCTTGCGCGCTTTAAAGTTTACACCCCACAAACACAGGCACACCTTTGTGTCTCTGATGTCAATGCAGCCCTTGTGCACCATTTACTCTTTTGCAGTAATATGCTTATTCCATCAACTACACCATAACTCGGCTGCTGAGCTACTACTCCCTAGAGTCCCTAGATCCCTACCAAGCGATTTAAGTGGTGATGGTAGAAAATTCACCTTGCGAGTTTAATGTGGAGAAAATACAAATGTATTTTCATGATAAACAAAAAAATGTTTATCTAGTGACATTTTTGTAAATAAATCAACAATTTTTTATTAAATGTGGGCCTACTAATATTAATTTATTTACGAAAATGTCATGTTGACTGGAATTTTATGTTAATTTATTTGCAGAAATGTCACTAAATAAACGGTTTTTGTTTATCACAAAGATAAATTGGGGCTCCCTCATGTCACACAACCCACAAATTCGACTTTGTTGTTGTAATAGATGTGAAAAAAAATCCATGCGAATAACAAAATAAAATTTACTTGGTTAAATGACTATGCGTTTAACTATATGTTTACACTCTGCAAGCGGTAAGATGAAGTTTTTATACATTGATTTTGAGGGTAATGCAAATAAAAATTAATACAGATTAATAATCTAAGGTTCTTAACAATACTCCTAAAATCGATATGGAATAGCCCTAAATTGGACGAGATCCGATCCCCCTCATGTTGGATTATTTGTAAGGAGCAAACAAATTGAAGATATATTCTAATACGAATATCGCCAATATAATTGTGTTTATGATAAAAAAATTCTCTTATCTTTTCTTCTCCTCTAAAGTGTTGGCTTGTGTACGTGGTTAAGTTAAATAATCTATAGGGTTCATTATATGCATTTTTCACATTTAAAAAAAAAAAAAAAACTACAACGTACTTCTCCAATTTAAATAGGAAAAGGTTCTAATTCAAGTACCTTGCATAAAAACTTTGAACATCCCAAAAGGTAACCCTACACAATGATACAACCAAAAGTCCAAAACCAGTTGCTAAGGAGCTAATTCAAACTACTAGTAAAATCAAACTCCAATTTAGATCATAATTCTTGAGTACTTGAATTAAAACAATCCTAATTATTAATAATCCATCAATTCAAACACCTAAAATATTCCTCTACCTTACTAATTGCCACTTGGCTCTGTCAACTTGATCTATAGAGTGTAAACACGTACCTTTACTTAAAGACCATGCACAAATAAGCAAGATGTTGACTCTATCTCGAAGAACATGACTCATGAGTATGTAATTTGGTTGATTACATGATTTAACCCCATGAGAATAATGTTGTATGGTCTTGCCATATTAAGTTAACGTATAATTAGATGTGACAAAATAAATCCATTACCTAGGCCATCATGTAATTTGACCAATGAAATCTTAACCTAGTAATTAACACTGAGAGCTTGTATATGATTGGTCACAAATTCAAATCTCTCGACCTTGCTAAGATTTGATTTGGAACAAAAACAAGAGATGAAACCCGAAATAACTGAAACCAAAACCACATCAACCCAAAGTGATATGAATTAGTTTCAACCCGAATTAAATGACTCAAACTAACCCAAATTAAAATGACCCGGACAATTGTTAAACAAATAAGAAATCTTCCATCTATTTTTTAAAATGACACATACAATGTTCTAAAACGACTTTTTTTTTTTTTTTTTTTTGAAGTGTGGGAAATTTCTACTATATTTTTCATTATATCTTTTCCTTCTTTGATCCTCCTACTATGTTCTAATTTTTTATATTATTTTTTTATTTTTTATTTTTTTTATTCCCTAGCTCCATGTTCCTCACTCAATCACTCTTGCATACTTCGTTTTTTTTTGTTTTTTTTTTAAAACTATTTGTATCTCTTTCCACATTATTTATTTTTTAATAAACTATCACTATCACTGTTTTACAGTATTTTTAACTCTCCAATAAACCTCACTATCGTAATATTTTAAACAATCTATATAATTCTCTTAAATTTTTTTTATGGAAGTCACTAAAATAAAAATAAAAAATAAAAATAGGGAGTTTTTCATACATGAAACGCAGAGATGAGCATAGTTAGGTCTTAGGTGACCATGTAAGCTATTGCTAACCCCGCTTATTGGGAAAGGCGGAGCCATATCACACAATAATATAGCAAAGGTTTTCCTCGAATCAATTTTGCTAGTAATGTCACCATTACCTTGATAATTACACTTTATACTAATAATTTATTTAGTAACTAACCTCGAAAATTAACATTGAAAAAGCCAAAAATCTTCGTATATAGTTTTAAGCTCGTAGATTGTTTTGGTATTATCAAACAAATGAGGGGGACCAGATCCATTACAGTATATGAAAGAACAAGATTCCAATGCAACTTTGTGAAAATACAAAAGGTAGATTTCTCAAAAAAAGAAAGGAAAAAAAAAAAGGTTAAAGTTCACAAAAGGGTTTGAGAATTTTTTTTGATGAGCTTAGAAAGGTATCTTAAGGCTTTATTCCATTCCCCTTCTCTCAATAAGTAAAATTATTAAAGAAAATAAGGGGGCTAACCAAGTCTGATTACAACTAAAATAAGTTTAACTAAAATTCAAGGACTTGTGATATCAGCCCATAACAAGATAAAAGTTGCAAGAAAAATTAGTCGATGCTACATAAAAATTCTTTTTTTTTATAAGAACATAAGAATTCAAAAAGGTAAGGCATGGGAAAAAAAAATAATAAAAAGATAAAAGTAATAACAAATAAGGTATAAATTTGACCTAATTAGCATTCCCTTTTTTTTTTTTTTTTTTTTTTGACTATTTTTTCCTAAGCTAGTATAAATGCATTTGTAGATTGGTGAGACTGTACACTATAATAATTTTTTTTTTTTTAAAAAAAAAAAACTCCTCATTGATAATACCTTTGGTTTTTTTTTTTTTTTTCAATTAAGTGTTCTATCTTGACCAGTATATATTTCATTAATAACAATGAGGATTATTGACCTATAATATCTTTAATTATTAAATTAATTATAAATTGTTAAAAGGTGATATTTGAAAATTGAATATTGAGACGATTATAATAAGTATTACATGACTATGTTTAATCTTATATATAATGCACTATCTATTAACTTATACTAAAAGCAAATCCTTTCATGACACTTGTCATTATCTTGTGAAAAATTTTCCCGCTTTTTTTGCTTTTTTTTTTTTTTTTTTTTTTTTTTTTTGCAAAATCTTTAAGTAAACTATTTATACCTTATGATATTTTCTTTCCAGTTTGACAATCATATTCCATATATACCCAAATAAAATATTTCTAAATATCTGTTATATACTTTATATTTTGTAATATTATTGTCAAAAATATTTAACAACCGTGCATTGCACGAGATTTTAACCTAGTTATTGGTTAAAGTGGTGTATATGTTAATTGCACAAAAGTCAAAATAAAATACTTTAACAAACAAAGGGCGTTGAAAAAGACTTTTGCTATGTACTCACAAATGCATGGCACCAAAGAGTTTAAAGACAAGGGTTAGTTGACTACATAATTGTTTAAAGAATGAAGCTTCAATCTAGCAATCAAAGCATGCATAACAACAAACTGTAGGAAGTTATATCTCCAAGCTTTCTGGTAGCCAAATCTTAACACCAAATTCAATTTCTTAAGGGATCATTTGGTTAAACAAACTGGAATGAAAAGGAATGGATTGAGCATCGTATATATGGTCAGTAAATCCACGTGTTCTTGCTATATGTGTTTATTATTTATGATGGTATGAATTAAGAATCTTAAGAGGCAATGTGGGATTATAGATAAACACCACTAGTATGAGGTTGCATTGCCAAAAATGCCCAATCAAACATTAGTAAAGCTTCTATTCATTCTAATCCATTCCGAAAGACCCAATTGAACACCGCCTAATAAAAATTGTTTGCTCAACTCAAATTCACTATATAAGTATATAGACTTCTAGAGCGTAAATTTTGAATAAAGGCATTCCATACTTATTTCTCAGTACATTTAGATGAACATAAGAAATCATGTAGTTAACTTTAAGGGGTATAAATATAATAAGAAGTTGAAAAAGTACAAAAGTTTACCAAACAAATTATATAATAATACCATTAGTTTGTCTGAAATTCTCAGCTTTATATTAGCATTATCATAATACTATAGAAAGCTAAGATATATTGTAAAAGTATGATTATTAATACTTAAAAGCAATTAATTAGTTTAAAATACAAAAGTTTACCAAACAAATTATATAATGACACCATTAGTTTGTCTAAAATTCTCAGCTTAATATTAGCATTATTATAACACTATATAGAAAGCTAAGATACATTATAAAAATATGATAATTAATACTTAAAAGCAATTAATTAGTTTAAAGTGTAACCTAAGTTATGGACAAAATTAGTTTAAGGTAGAGGAAGGCTAGTAAGAATTAAGATCTGTAAACTAAAACGAAACTGTTGCCAGATTCTACAACAATCCAACTTGCGTAAGTGGCTTTACTCTTGCATTATATATTGTACATCAAACACGCTACTATTTTCGATTACATAAGCTTTGCTACATTAGCAAGTAACTCGTTTATTATATTTTAGAAAATACAGAGCACTCAATTATATATGTACACGAAATGAATGAATGATAGGTTAATCGTATCTTATCAATTATAATAATACTAGTAAATTAGTGGAAGTACAAACTACAAAAGGAAGTTATTTTTTTTATGTGGTGGGCTTGACAATTGGTGTTAGTCAAGGGAATCTTAAAGAAAGGTAGCTAGAAAGCTCTAAGGTAAATAAAAAAAACGTTTATCTAGTGACATTTTTATTTATCAAATGACATTTTTATTTATCATAAACATAAAATTTTCTCAAGGAAAAGAATAGTTGGTTGGATGACTTCTTTTTAGTTTTACATAGTTCTTAAATAAATAATCCATCTTTGTTTCCAGAAAAAAAAAATATTAATAATAAAAAATCCATCTTATTATCACTAATTTTTTTTCCCAATTATAGTCAAAGTAGATAATTTTAGTGTAATATTATTGTTTATTTTGATTGGGGGTCAAGGTAGATTTGTAGAATATTAATGTTTGAAATTTAAAGGGTTCGTATTGCTGTGATTTTCTGTTTTTTTTTTTAAAAAAAATTTCAAAATCATTTAATATATGTCATATAATAAATTAAAAATTGGTCAAACTTATTAAATTCATGATAATTTTAAAATTCTGACAACCGTAAAATAGAAACACCTCTCTCGTTTTTGGTTTTTTGTTTTCAAAAAAATCAGATAACTGAAAATAAAAAACGATTAGTATAGTTGAACTTTTGTTGGTGGTCATGAAAAGAAACGACGAAAACATTTTACGGGATAAGAAATTACCTATTTTAGATCGATAAGGAAATTATGGACACCCTTAAAATGGTGAAACAATTTCAATCGTTTTACTACCTCCGGTTGCTATTATTTGCAATTTTGGAGGGTTTCACGATTCACGAAGCATAATTTGATAATAAAAGGAAAGGGTACTTTGTACATGTGATTAGGAGGAAAGAGAAAAAATAAAATAGGGGACCACTATATTAAAATCTGATTTTGTACATGTGGTTAGGAGGAGAGAGAAAAAATAAAAAGGGGGACCACTATATAAATGTCTTTTTAACCAAAAAAGTTTGTTAAAAAGGGAAAAAAATTGAAAAATTGCAAATAATGCTGGGCGGCCAAAAATAATAAAAGTTGCAAATAATAGCGATCGGAGGTTGTAATAATTTTGAAAGAATAATTCAATGAACAAAGCACAATCACTAGTTACGCCTGGACCACCATTGATGTCACTTAGATTTTCCAAGCTGCTTCTTGTAAATTTTTGATTGGTTATCATGGTTATCTTTTATCAGGGAAACTATGTACATCTAAGAATAATCCTCTATCTATTTCATACAAATTAAGACACTTTGAATTTATTAATTATTTTCACTATTTATATACTTAATGAATTTCATTATACTCTATCTGTTCCATAATGCGAAGTAATTAAATTTAACTATATCTTTTGAGTATTGTACTTTATGAAAAACAATTAGTATATGTAACATGTTTAGAAATAGACATTAATGTGAATTTTAATAATATTAACTTTTTAATATTTTTTATTTATGTTTAATTATATAAAGATGTCAATAACATAAATTGGCATATGTTTCAAAGTCGACTGTGTTAATAATTAAAAAATAGAGGGAACATGTACTTAATACAAAATACACTATTCTAACATTAAAATGGCTTTGTAACAATTAGTCAATTACTACTATAACAATTTGCCTTCAATTTTCTCCTGATATGCTCGTAGGTCGAGTTGATGACATTATGAATAGATTTCTAGTGGATGTCAATTAGATTAACTAATCAAAGTATAGTCTTTGGGTAGTATTCAAGTTCGACCTAGATTACATCTTTTGTGTTTTACTTCTCCACACCTAAAATAAATCATACTCGATGTAGTAAAAAGAATTTGTGGATCCATTTCTCACAAACTACCAACACTAAATTTTTAATAGCATTTTATACTTGATGCTTTGATTCTAGATAGGTCCAAGCTGCCCGGCCCATATTTTTGGGTACTAAAACTAGGCAAATTTAGCCCAAAGAATAGCCCAAAAGTGAAAACTGACACAACTGAGTGTTTTTTTTAGAAAAACAAGAAGAAGAAGAAAAAAAATTGGAAAAAAGAGAGAGAAAATGTTCTCCATTTGAGAATTGGAAATCTGAAGGTTTGAGTTCATACACTACCGAAGGTAATTCTCGTTTTCCTTTCTATTATTCGTTTCATTTGACTCTAAATTTCTTGTTAATTTTGTGGGTTACTGTTTTTGAATTATATTGAACCTAATTGTTGATATATTTGCTATTAAAAACAGATTAATAAATTGCAAAGACTGCTTTTGTTGTTGTTGTTGTTGGGTTTCATGTAATTTGCTGTGGGAATGATGATTTATGATGATATAATTAATTGAAAATTTCTTGTTTCTGATTCATGTAATTTGGTGTTTTTGAGCCAATTTTGATTGTTCTGAGCTTTTGAAGGCATAAAGGGTTTGTTTTTCTTCTTTTAATTATGCTATGAAATCTGAGGTTGAGCATCTCAGTTTGTTAGAACTGAGTAGTGTGTAATTTGACTTTAATTGATCATTGCAAATCATTAATATGGATAACCTAACAAGATTAGATGTGAGCTTAATCTATCCGTTTAGCCGAATGTAAATTCGAGTGCTCGAACTCGGTATGAACTCTCTATGTTCATCTATATGTTGTTGGTGTTATTTAGAGAGTGTAACTTTTCAAAGGTTAAATGCTTGATGCGTTTGATTGAGCTTTGAGGCCGGCGAAATTTAAATGTTTTTAGGGGGTGGAATAGGAGAAAAAAGATTTGAATTTAAGGTGATAGGAGCATAGTGAAGTTAGGAATATCCTCTACTTCTTTGTTTACCGTACGTGGATGTAGAAAGGCTGCTTTGTTGGGTGGGGGCTCCAAGGCAGCCGCGGAAAACACTAAGAAAACAATTGTTTATGGGGATAGGAAAGCATAGAATTAGTGAAACCATAGAGAGGAGGGGATCCCTTGCGCTCCCTCTGCTTCCCTGAATTGAAAACACTATATGAGTGACTAGGTCCTTTTCTTTTCAATACCTTAATAGAAGTATTGATATACTCTTCTTCACTTGGAATTCACCTGGTTCTTGTTTGGTCTACCCCTAAATTCAGAGACATGTAGCTTCCATTTTATGCCATCTGAAACATGATTCATGTATCCTTCTCTGAGCTTTGATTGCAGTTTCTTTGGTCCAGGTACATATTGATAGAGTTCAATTAAGGAGTCAAATAAAATAGTGTCCAAATGGATCCTCGGTGTGTGAAGTGTGGTCGTGGGATTGAAAAGCTCTACATCCAATATTCACCGGGAAATATCCGGCTCTTAAAATGTGGCAACTGCAAGTCAGTTGCCGATGAGTACATAGAGTGTGAGCTCTTGATTCTCATCATTGACTTGATCCTTCACAAGCCTCAAGCTTATAGGCACTTGCTCTTCAACGTGCTTCGCTGCAAACTTTTAGATTTTGACACCTTATTGTTCAAATCATCATTCTTTTTCTTCTTACTTGATGCTTACAAGTTGTGGATTTTGAATGGAACCTCAGAAGAACTGTCAGTTTTGAGCTTGGGATGGAAGACTTTAGGTTGTTCTCTGTTAGAGAATTTGGCCTTCTTTTGTGTTCATGCTGTATTTTCGAGGAGATATTTGACTTTTGTAGAGGGCTTTTCTGGGTACAAAGATGTGTTACTCACCATGGTTGTTTCAAGCTACTTGAAGATTTATATGTTGTCCATGTTGGTCTGGGAATTTCCTGCTTCAGTGGTTTATATCGTTGATTTGTTTGTTATGTCATCAAATCTGGTAGCTTTGCGGGTGATCTCTAAATCATCTTTTACTAGATGTGTCGTGTTATGCCTCAGTGCTCATGCCCTGAAGTTCTTTGTGCACTGGATGCTGAAATAGTTATTATGTTCCTGTTGTGATTTTGGGTCATTCCTTATACTTCCCATCTATTACTCAATTGTTGAAGATATTGTGAACTGGGTGCTTAAAGATTAACTATTTGTGTGGTTATTGAAATTTGCCGGAGAGATCACTCATTTTAATGCTAATTGAAAGACATACTCAGGTCTAGAAGAATATCTTTTTTATTATGTTGCTCTTTGAGCACAGTTTTTTCAGCAGGAGGTTGGTAACATGAATTCGCAGAAGAATCAAACTGAAACCAAATCATCTATAACTGCACCAACTCCAGCAATTACTTCATGTAGGAGGAAGAAGAAAGATGATGCGACTTTCCTCGAGGATCTAAAGGACCATATTAATGAGTTCATCGATGCTTCCATGGATGAACACAAGTCATGCTTTACAAAAACCATTCAAAAGGTCCTTTTTTTTACCCCTGATTGCTATCACCTACATTAAGTGATATGACTGATATTGTGTTTTAAATATACTTCGTATGTACTTAATTTTGTAACCCTTGTGTGAAGGGCAGATGTTTGGAATGTCAAAGGTAGTGGCACAACGGAATTCTGAGCAGCAGGAAGTAGAGAGTGTTCTACCACTTCAGACAACAGTCTCAAAGTAGACAATCTGAAAATAACTTTTTTGACCCCTGTTGAGTAGAAGCGAAGAAGCTATGCTTTTGTAATTTTAGTAGTTTATGAGCATCTTATTAAGCTAATAACAAATACTTATGACTTTATACTGTTCTGCTGTATGTACTGTAGAATCAAATACTCTTATTCGCGTACAAGAAATATTCTCTTCTTTGCAAATACGCTTCTTCTGTAACCTGTATCTGAAAAATTGTCTAATTCTGGATATTCTAAGCTGTTGGTTGCTTTGCATTTATGCTCTGAATTGTAGATCCAGTTTTCAATCTATCTATAGTACTTGAAATGCGTTTATGCTCTGAAATGGAGATACCAGTTTTCAATCTATCTATAGTACTTGAAATTTGTGTTGCATTGTAATTCTAGGCTGTTTCGGAAGGGGAAAAAGTTATTTTTGGAATGGAAATTTTGGATTTTTTTTTTTTTTTTTTTTGGTGTATAGAGTGCCACAAGGGCAAGCAATGTAGATGGGATTTGAATTTTGGAAAATTATGAGTTTGACAAAGTCTTTAACTCCGTCCTATTTATGAAATAGTGTTGTTCTTCATTACTTCAGATACGAGTGACTTCTTGCGATTTTAAACAAAGGGGAATAACATTTAATTTAGTATTCCACAATAAGTTAGCGTAAAATTGAGAATCAAGTTGAAATTCATGAAATTCTATCAGCAATTTTGTGGTCTTACGCGATACATGGAAAAGCTCATACATCTGAATCATTTTTCCCGGAGGAAGGCGACAACCTTCGTAGAAAGAACATGAAAAACAAGAATGTCTATTCTTTTAAGGCGAACTGCCAATGTCAGAACAAAGCATGTGGTATAACAAGGATGAATTGATATCAACGTAGGAATAACAACCATTAGTTCCGAAGGATTACTGAAAACTGCACCTAGGTCATCAGCCTGTAAATTTACCGCGCTTGCAGACTTGCAGCAGAGCATCAAATGACCCAAACATTTCAATCATTCATTGTTTGACAGCAATTATAATGTACAAATTACCAAACACGTGGGCAAAAGATGATGGTGAAGTTGTACTGTAACCTATTACATTCATGAACTGTTGTTATTTGAGTTAAGACCTCATTTCCTGCAAGTAACAGCTGATCATCTTCAGCCCAATTTGGATTAGGTCTGTCACAAATTTTCCAGCAGCAATAGTACGAAGTATGTTTTAGAATACAGCCTGTGGCCGTCTCTACTTGAATGCATTTTGGCCTATGATCAGCTCAAGGTTTCTAGCAGGTAAAACTCAAGTCCCAAATCCATGTTATCCCTCCTGCAACAAAAGAAGTGTAAATTCAGACGAATCAGAATCCAGGCACAAAGCAGCAGCAATGAATCCTGAACATGCATTGCAACAACTTGATTGTTTAAGCCATATAAGAAAGACATGGACTACGTAGCCATCACAAATTACGTTCCCGAGGAGAATAATTCTTACAACTTGGCAAAGGGAGAGGAAAAACAAAAGATAAAAAAGCAGGGGAGGGTTAAAAGGTTGAAGGTCTACTCTCAAGCTTTTTTCCAAGAAGAATGAACAGGAATTTAAAGTTTAAAGGACACAATAGTATGCCTATTTCAGCACTTTTATTATGAGAGTGACTTCACTATTTAGAGGTGCAAGAAGAATCCATGCCCCACATCAACTCATATTTGTCTATCCAAATTTAGCATCAAAAATTAATTGTCTACCAAAATCTTCTGCGAGTATAATCACATATAATGATGGAACAATTAAGTTCTTAATGCCCTGACCTCATCTCAAGCTTGAGAAATGAGATCTGATAGGCTGAAATACAAGGATAATTTAAGCATCAGATAGCACTTTGCAGTCATTATGGAAGAAGCATAATTAATCACATGATTTAAGCCGATTACCTTGCTTTTCATGTAAATGGGCCACTGATAGCTTAGGAACCAATCAGATTGTCACCCTTCTGAAATTCGAAGAATATTATCACCTTAAACCTCCAGATACCCAAATCTTATTACTATTATGGAATCAATGTGAAAATATGAGAAAAATCTTATACTTTCACGCTACAAATATTGATGCAACTTTATTGACAGTAAAAACACTTGGATCAGCAAATATCTGATGTAAAGACTCCTCTATACTTCTCAGATGTAAGAGTGTTAATAAAGCAGGTTTCACAGTATTAATATTCACCACTTTTATTCAACTCAATCCACTAAAATCAAGATATAGCATCCGAAATTCCTGTCAAAGATTCGCCTCAAAGGTATCAGCATTTCATCCTTGTGCCATTGAAGAACCACAATGAGTGGAAGTTCTCTGTAAAGTTCAGGTTTCTGGGTCCCTTACCCCAGACATGGTAGAATATGCACTAGTCTAAATTGTTCCTTCATATAACTCATGCATACATCCTAATAGTCTCCACACTCAGCCACATGCTTGTATAAATATAAATATCAAGGTAAGCCATCTAATCAACTAGGGATGTGGGCTGATACCAGCCAGAAACACAAATTTCATAAGGCAAGCGGAGATGTGGAAGGAATCCATAATTCCTTATACATTAGCATCTAGATGAAATAGACAGGATGATAAGGATTCCCTCCCACCTTGAAAATATGCATAATTGTGCTGCAATATGAGATACCTAGAATATTGCAAGAAACAACTTTTAAACAGTCGATAATTGCTAGACCTTAACAATGTATGTCAGGTATCCTTTACTGGCGGCAACTCTGATCTAATGAGGGGCAAAGTTTGGGACTATATTTAGTATATTTAAACTGATCGTAACTTAAATGAACTGGAAAGGTTCCACTTCTTATGCATGAGTATTTAAAATCCAAATAGCATTATATCCATGAACATATATTTGGTTGAACAGAATACGACCTTACCATGTCATTGTGGATAGAGGAGTGCAAACTACAACATCATCATTTGCCATTTTTGTTGATCTCAGCAGAGTAGATGTATCCCTTACCCACAGAGTTTCAACTTTACATAAAGCATAACATTTATCGTTAACCATACCCTAGAGGAACTGTATTCAAGAGGATGTAGACATACAAACATCCTAACCCTATGAATCATCATCCATTCTAAGCCTACAACTTGCAATTCCCCGAGTACATATCCTGATTCTAAATGTAATGAATAAGATTTTGGTGAAGTCTAGTGGACGTTTTATTCCGACAGACCACCTAGACTTGTGCTCATCCGAGCAACTTGCAAGATAACTCCAAACTCTCCCATCACCAGACTTCCCTCATCTAGTAATCTTTTCACTACCACCTCTCATATTGATAATTCGGTTCTTCCTAATATGGATGGTCCCTTATGGGCTAAAATATTCGGCTATCAAAACAATTGACTCTAAGAACATGACAATTCTCATACAAAATTAACCTACTCATTATGACTCAATTACTCATCAGCTTTGTTTGCTAAATTTGTTTAAATTGAAGCCTAGTATGTTTCTGTTCTTATACAATCTAGTCGCTTAAGTTTACGGTGAACAAGAATAGAATTGCTAATGATTTGGAAGTACTTTTGTCACCACTATAGCTGTGATCTCCAAAATCCTAGCCATAAATCGATAATATGGTCCGGCCACACATTACATTTAAGATGATGCAAAACTATTGTCTGGTTAGAACCCACTTAATGGAACACTGAATATTTAAAGTGGTGCAGCTATAACCTAATTACCGAGTGAAGAGTTAGCAAAATCTTTGAGATAAGGTGGATATTATCACTATCATTTTCTAGCTTAATCTGGAATCATTTAATAGAATGTCCACTTTTAATAGAGAAATTAAGACTAAATTCACCAAAAGAGTGCAAGTAGGCTAAAAGAGCTTCCACATACTTGTATATGGTCCTATGAGAGATTCCATTAGGTGTCCGTACGATTTGGTAGCCCATGACTATCGCGGTAGCTGTTGGGATATGATTATGGAATTAGATCAGCACAACCTAGTTAGAGGTAAAAGACAGGGGGATGGGCAAACCCACATTAAAATTTATGCTGAGCTAAAAGAGGTTATATTCTGAATTGTTTTTCATTATAGAAGAGGTATGACTATAAATGGTTAAAAGAAGATATAAATTTGAACTTACCAACATATAACTTGAATGCGAGTTTGGGAAAGCACAACTGGCTCCAATAATCCACCCCATAGCGACAGCTAACGACAAAGAAAATTGATTCAGCAGCAGCTTGACTTATTGCAAAATTATACAATGAAAAAGGTAATTTAGTGATTGTGATTTCAGGTTATTTTTACAACAAAATATTGGATAACAATATAAGATCACCAAATAATGGTTTGTGCACCAAGGCCACCAACAGAGTTAGTAATATTGAGCTTGTAGATAATTTACTAAATCGAAAACCAGATCGGTGATCAAAATCACACAAAAATCATATTCCTAGAAAGTAGAAATCATAATGAGGAATTGATCTGAATGATATGAAGGGAAAGGAAAGCATCAAGAAATTTCATGATATGAGTGCATGACTTTTGTATCCGCTTTGGAAATGCATTAATCTATGCTTTAAGACATCAAATTTAAAAATTTAGTGGGATAACAACAAAAGGCTTAACATGTTTGCAACTGCAGTCAGAAAAAAGGGTGAAAAATACTATATGTTAACACATTATCATCCCAACCATCCAACAAAATTTGATAATATATTTTGCTACCACAACCACCCAATAATTTTTATAAGATCAATTAACATATCCTCTGTGGAAGTTCTTGATACAAATTTTATACTAGTCAAATATACATTAATCACATGAAGCATGCTATTGCATCGACAATCAAAAGTGTTGCTCATCTTAAATACATAAACGGCCTCATTATCAACTATACTAGAATATACATAGAAAAATAAAAAAATCTACTGTGCCAACCAAACTACTGAAGAGCAAGTTAGCAAGTTACTCTTGATGACATTATCTATTAAGAGTATGAAGTAAAGGATTCCTAGGGAAATCATTGTACGGACTAAGTTGGCCAGCTAAAGAGTTTGGAATGTTGTTAAGGACAAAGTACAAAAAAAAAAGATCACCTGCAATAATGTGCACTGAAAAAGATTTTCTACACGATGGCTTCTTTGACAAAAGAAAATACTAGTGCATATGATTAACTGGCTTGTAGCTAGTGTGGCTCACTCTTACTCGTGAAGGTGGAATGATGGTGAATCTTTCTAGGCCCACACAATAAAACAGGAAAGTACTCTGCCTAAAAATCCTGAAAGATAGGAAATACATACTTGATACTTAGTTAGCTCCATCTTATGGTACATGTTTATCCAAATTAAGCCCTCCCGAAAGTATAAACTTAACGACTAATTAAAGACATTGATGAATTCCATAAACCAAACGCACTCTCTTCTGCTGCTTCCCATTGGACAGCATGATATGTTAAGATAACGTAAGTGTTTGGTTTTCTTTTTATACAGACCTAACTTCTCCTGTGTGATTAGCTATTACTCCTGTCTACTAGTCAAAGATCATGGACTTTGGAATACATAAACAAAGACACATAGAAAATCGTAGAAACTTGGCTAGGAGTTTTATGGGCAAATGAACTGCTCGCTAGGATCTTAACGCGATAAGCAGAGTGAAAAAGAAAGCAAGATGATTAGTAGTAATAAGAGATACTGATTCTTCTACCTGGGTAATCCTTTTTCCCTCCTTCCTCCAGCATATTCCTGTGGTTCCTAGGGAAGCAAATCACTGAAATTTCACTCTTTTTTTTTTTTTTTTTTTGAAAGCCCTTTTAGAAAATAACTTGGCCCAATTGTCATTACCCCACATTCAGCTCCACACCTCTATAAAGAGCAGGCATTGCCAACTCTAGCTCATACCACATCATCTGCTTATTTTTACTGCTTCTCACTCCCAAGTGCTATTCTTCATTCTCCAAAATATCTCAAAAAATCAGGTTCATAGCATTCAGAATAATCCCAAACAACCCTGTCCTAGCTTCTTTAACCTAAACAAATGGCAACAGGCTCAATGTCCTCGCGTGGAATGGGATCATCTTGGACCGCAAAGCAAAACAATGCCTTCGAAAGGGCCTTGGCTGTCTATGACAAGGAAACTCCTGACCGCTGGCACAATATAGCCAGAGCAGTTGGTGGGAAAACTGCTGAAGAGGTTAAGAGGCATTATGAAGATCTCCTGGAGGACATCAAAAACATTGAGTCCGGCCAAGTGCCCTTTCCTAACTACAAAAATATGGGAAATTAACCAATGGAGACTCGAGTCTGAGTAGCAAAGGTATAATATAATCTTAATCTAGTCTCACCCATTGTATCTTAGACAAATCAGAGTTCTCTGTTTGTTTTGGTTTCTTAATTCATACCTGACTTGTATGTCTATGAATAAGTCTTTGTATCCATAGTTAGCAACAAAAGATATGAAACTGTTTAAAATAACACTCACAAAAAGTCACTTAAAAGTTAGTCTTAGATCATTGTCAAATCAAAAGAGACCTACCAAGAAGACTTATTAACATCATATGGGATTTAAAACTACTCCAATTTAGGTTGCCTAACTTAACAACTAATCGTAAAATTCAACCTTATAAGAGCCCAAAACTTAGACCCTTTAACCTACTTGCCCACTCTAAGACTCTCTTTGAAAAAAAAATTGTACTTACATAGCAACATACTTAATAATAACACTAAATCAATGCATAATGTCAAAAACTACCATGAATTTTAACATAATTACTGTTTAAATCAAAACATATCCATAAGCAGCAAATAAAGTATAATTATGAAAGGAATCGAAATTTTGGCCCTGTAATAGAAAGGCATCTTACAGATTCAATTATGCAACTATTATTATCAGGCATCGAAAAAACATTATATTAATCCGCAAGCAACGTATAATGACAACAGATTACTATTTAGATACCCACAATAATTGATTAAGTTACAGCAACTAATCCCACTTGTTTTCCCTAAATAGTAACTAACAACTATGTTTCTAACATTAATCTTTGTTGTTTTATGCAGGATTAAGAATCTAGTGGCGCGCTCTTTTGTTGATCTCTATCTCATTGAATAAAACAATTAATTAGTCGATTAATTATTAATGACTTGATCTAGTAGCTAGCCCCAAGTAAATTACAGCTACTATTAGTACTGGTTTTTCTAATTTATGTGTTATATTTTCTATTTTCTATGTAGCATTGTATCAAACAGTTAGTCTGCAATCTTCTTTATTCCTATTGTATAAGAGATTATCAGATTGAATGTGAATTTCCCTACTATTTGGTGCATAATTATCATAGTTAATACAAATAAGCTTAATAATTTACAAACTTTTAGTGCATAATTATCATAATATATACAATTAAGCATAACAATTTGCAAAATTTAACAATGACTTTAAAAATTAGAGTTTGAAGAAAGATTACAGAATAAGTCTTTTATACAATTAAGAAAACAACTTACAAAATTTTGGAGCATAATTATCATAATATATACAATCAAGCATAACAATTTGCAAAAATTAACAATGATTTTAAAAATTAGGGTTTGAAGAAATATTACGGAATAACTGTGGACTGATTAATAGCAATAGATTGTGATTCTTCGAATCAAATGATGACCGAAGTTGATTAAAGATTTGATGTAGTGAAAAGAGAGAGAAACCGCGGGAAGTTTGAAATTGGAAGTTGATACCTTCCTATAATCTTCTTTTGTAATGAGGGCGCTGATAATTGACAATTGAGAGTAAGACAATGATCAAAGAGATGTCCAAAAAAAAAAAAAAAGACAATGATCAAAGATCAAAGATGAGCTTGGCTATTGGTAAACTCAAATCAACCTATCGGTCGACGACTCTTGCCACTAGCCTATTTTGAGTAAATTAATAAATTGAGTTGATTTCAAATAGTTTATGTAACTAGTAATTTAGTATAGTTCAATTTTGTTTATAGCAAAGATCAAAGATGAGCTTGGCTATTGGTAAACTCAAATCAACCTATCAGTCGACGACTCTTGCCACTAGCCTATTTTGAGTAAATTAATAAATTGAGTTGATTTCAAATAGTTTATATAACTAGTAATTTAGTATGGTTCAATTTTGTTTATAGCTTTATATCTCATACGAAATACAAGTTGAAGAGATAAATAACCAAAGATGGTTCAAATTCTTGTTCTTTCACTACTCGTGCCGCAATTAGTTTGGTACTTATTTTATCCAATTAGTACAATTGTACAACATTATGTATTGATTTAAGTCTCATTTAGCTATGTGCTTTCTTTGTATTTTCTAAATTTAGTATACACGTTATTCAAGTTTTGAGATGACATAATAACTCATGAATTTGGTTTAATATAGCAAATACTCCCAACTTAGACCCTGTTCACTCAAAAAAAAAAACAAGGCTCTAATATTGAACGACAAATCCTATTGGATTCCTTATCCATAAGTAACAAGTAACCATTTTTCTATTTTCACTTTATCATGCATGCCCTCCAAATACCAACCTTCATAAGCATACCATACAGGCATACACTAATTCAAGTGTGCAACTAAGTAACTAACCCCTTTTGCCACCGACAACACAAATTGTTACCCCTTAAATAATGCAAAAGATAAAAACAATACAACTATACAAGTGCAAATAACGTGATGTCAATTGCAACAATATAGAGAAAGTAGGAAAGATATCGGAAAGTTTGGATGAGGAATAGGACAATTAAAAGGCTAGATTAGAAATTTAAACGCAAACCAGTCGTTCATCTCTTTTTCCCCTAATTATTGCCAATGTTTGCGGAAACCAACATGCTACCTAAGCCAAATAGGCAAATAGCCAATCGTATCGTTTAGTGCATGGCCCTTGCTAATAATATAACACCAATACTTACAAAACTTGGCTATCAATTTTTGATTTTGAATCAGTCAATACACTACTTTAGCCTTTATTAAAATAATTAATTATTTAGTCCATACTAATCACTATAATTATCTACAACCCCGACACAAAACCCGGTCATTACGGATACTACTCACGTTTTTTCAGTTGTTTGTCAATTCCTAAAATTATCATAGCATCTAAAAATTAAAAAGTATTAACATATAATAAAATCAATTCTAAGATTATTATAAAGTAAATTGCTAAAAGTTGTTAAAATTTTGGAAAAATTAGTGGTATATAAAATAGAAATTTGAGTTACAAAGTAGCAAAAATTTAATTGCATATGAAATAATTGTATAACCACAACAGTAAGATTTTAAAATTGATTTGCAATTTAGCAAAATAATGAAAATAAGGGAGCAAAAAACTTCAACAAAAGAACAACGGAATTTGGTATTCAATCCTTTTCATTACTTCCAAGGTTGAAACTATCGATTTAATTACAAACTAACAGTAACACCGATTTTAAAATTGATTTGCAATTTAGCAAAATAATGAAAATAAAGGAGCAAAAAATTTAAACAAAAGAACAACAGAATTTGGTATTCAATCCTTTTCATTACTTCCAAGGTTGAAACTATCGATTTAATTACAAACTAACAGTAACACCCTCACTCAGTAACCAATCAAAATCAAGTACCCAGAAACAGTAACAGAGTAACCCAAGAACAGTAACTCAGAACAACCAAACAGTAACAGTAAAACAGATCAACCTTTTTTTACCCCAAAAGGTAAAAAAAATGTGACTAAAACAAACATTCATCATAAAATCTATCCTAATTCCTCCAGTTTCCATCAGAGTTACCACGGGAGTATCGGTCACCGCCTCCGCCGTAACCACCACCGCCTTCACGACGGCCACCATAACCGCCATCGCCACCGTAACCTCCTCCGCCGTATCCACCGCCGCCGCCTCCGTATCCACGGTTGCCGCCTCCTCCACCGTATCCACCTTCACGGCGACCTCCGTATCCTCCGCCGCCACCTCCGCCGCGATATCCTCCGCCGCCACCACCGCCGCCGCCGCTGCGAGATTGAGCCTCGTTGACGGTGATTTGACGGCCGTCGAGCTCAGATCCGTTCATTCCTTGAATCGCAGCGTCAAGAGCTTCTTTGGTGTCGAATGTGACAAATCCAAATCCTCTAGATCTGCCAGTTTCTCTGTCACTGATCACCTGGAAAGTTAAATCAAATTAAATGTCAGAAATCATCAACAACTGAATCATCAGGATTTCAATCGGGAAATCAAAATTGATCGTTCATCTTCCAATGGACATACCGTTGCCGGATATCATGATAAAAGAACAGATCAAGTAACAATAGTAACGTAACGTAACAGATCAAAGTAACAGAATTATTCGAATCAAAGTAACAGAATCATCGATTTTTTTTTTCATTTTTTTTTTGATGAGATATAGTAACACGAAACCTTCGAATCAACGATATCTCCGTATTGAGAGAAAGCTTGGCTCAATCCTTGATCAGTGGTGGCCCAAGCAAGGCCACCGACGAAGCATCTGTACTCGGCATCAGCAGACATTTTAGAGAGAGAAAATGAAGAACCCTAGAAATTGATTGAGGAAGAAGAAAGAGGGGAAAAGAAAGCACGAAGAAGGGATGAGAATGAAGAGGTGTTTAAATAGGAGGAGAGTAGGGTTACAGGGCTAGGGTTAAGATGTGACGCAAGTTGTGTTAACTATGGTTTAAGGAAGATATTATTATGGGGAATAAAAATATCTAGGTTATCTTATCATAGCTTTGGCTTTACGCTCGTCACCCATGAATCGTTATCATCATCTTTAGTGATGGGATATTGGAAATTTGGAATTGACCCTTTCACCACTTACAAGAGATACTCACTTTCACTGGAAATTATCTTTTTTTTTTAGTTTTTTTTTTTATTTTAATTATCTTGTACCGCTATTTAATTGTAAATTTTCATTAATATATAAAATCCGCATTGGTTAATTGTAAATTCCCATTAATATAAAACTAGTGAGTAGTTTTGTCAAAATATATATATATATATATACAAATTCTCCAAAAGGCGGATATACGTTAATTTATTGTAAAACGGGTTAAAGTTATGTTAAAAGTATTTAAAGTTACCCTTTATACTGCAAAAGTTATTATTTTTCTATTAATAAATTTTATCTTACAAAAAAAACTTATAATGTATTAGATTAATCATATTAGTCTTTATAGTATGTGACCACGTACCTATAAGAAATTACACATTAAAATAAAATTCAAAACCAACGATAAATTAAAAGTTACCCTTTAAGTGGTTAAAGTTAACATAAAAATAGTTAAAGTTACGTTCAAATTGATCGTTTTACAATAAAATTAATGTACACCCGTTATACACAAGACTTTATATATATATATATATATATATATATATATATATATATATATATATATATATATATATATATATAGCTCGAGCATTGCCCAGGAAACTACTTTTATATTTGTGCAACTGCTAATTTTAAAGAGCATTTAAATATTTAAATAGTGTGTATGTAGTATGTATTTTCAATACTTTTATAGTATAATATTATTTAGTGTGCAACATTAAAGCATAATTGACTATTAACTTAGATGGTTAAACAATAATGTTGCTTCAAAGAGGTCAAGTGTTCGAACCTTTTCATCCATATATTTTGGCATAGTTAGGGGATCTACGTGGCGTAGAGACGTTTTTAGAAACGTTGATTTGTTAAGAACTCTTTGATCAAAGTTTTGAGATAGGTAAGGACTTACATGGCCTAACACTAAAAAATGTAAATATGGCATGATTCACTATTGTGTTTGATAGGTACTCCCTTGTATATAATGCTTAATCTTTTTATTTTGGAAAATGAAAATAAGGCTTAGCACAACAATGTCAAAAAATGAAGTTATAAAACACCAAATGATACCAATTTTTGTAGGTTTTGGGATCGCGGACCTGGTGTCGAAAACTTTAGGATGATAAGGATAAGGGATGCATCCTGAATCATATGACCGCTAGCTAGCTAGCTAGTCGAATTGGTCACATAAAGACTTGTGGCAATTCAATTCAACCTTGAGCTAATTAAGGGTGTCATGTACATAAACAATTAGATTGACAATTTAAAGACAAGGTGAATGATTCCAACCACCCAAGCGGTTATCCGGAGTGTTGTATGTAGGGTTCACGAGAAATACATACACCAACATCTTTCAATCTTTCCTTTCCTTGTCCAAAGAATAATAAAAATATTCAGTAATTGAATGTTATAAATCTTATATTACACAGTTGAACCAATTTGAAAGTTATAATGGGACACGGTGTTGAAAAATCTTGAATGCATCTCAAGGTTGTATAATATATATTGTTTGGGACTATATATGACCACTAGTTGGTCATAAAAAATTTTGTAGTAGCTTTGAGTTATTGAAGGGAAACGTAAGTTGTACACGAGTAAATTAAAAGTTTAAAGGCAAAGTGTATGGTTCCAATAATCCAAATGAACTCTTGAGTATCTTGGGGTTCATACAAGGAAGGCACCCCAACATGTTTCCTTTTCTAATCCCAAAACATGCATTGGAAAATTGTCAAAATCACTAATAGAAAACAGGCCATTTCCGACGGAAAAATCCCGTCGGAAACACCCTAAATTTCGTCAGAAAACCCGTTTTCGACGGAATTTTCGTCGGAACCGGTTGTCGGAAAACCTTTTGTAGGAAAAACGACATTTTCACTTTTCCGACGAAAATTCCGTCGAAAGAGAAACTCCGGCACCGGAAAAGTCCGTCGGACATTTCCGACAGATACTGTTCCGCCGGAAAAGTCAATAAAAAAACAAAAAAAAAAGCCTCCCCCCACCCTAACCACTAGCCCACACCACCAGCTACCAACCCAAACTAGCCCGCCTAACCTGCACCCACCCACCAGACCCACCTAACATGAACCCACCACCTTAACCCACTTAACCCAAACCCACCCACCACCTTAACCCACCTAACCCGAACCCACCCACTAGACCCACCACCTTAACCAACCTAACCCTAACCTACCCAACTAACCCAAATCTATCATCTAACCCCACCAACCTAACCCTAACCGCACCCTTACCCAGATCCACCAACCACCACCACCGTACCCTTACCCAGATCCACCAACCACCACCCCAGATCCACCTAACCGAAAACCACACGCACAATCACCACAATCCCATCACCACCCACCACACGCACACACATCATCCACACCCACCACCACCGAATCTCTTAACCCAAAAAATTTTAAAAAAAGAAAGAAAAAAATTCAGAAACAAAAGCGAAAAATTAAAACATAAAACATACTTTAAATTGAAATGGGTTTCGAATTTCACCACGAAAACGATTTAACAAGGCCAAATTCGGCCATGAAAAGTCTAGATCTAGGCTTTTAATGGTCGCATTTGGCCTAAAAAACCTTAAAAATAATCAAAACAAAATTGTTGACGTTGCGCAGTGGTGGTGGTGTTGGTTACGTCGTTGTTATTGCGGCGGTGTTGATGTTACGTTGTTGACGTTGTTAGTGTGAGATACGACGGTGGGTTTTGTTGTTGGTGTGAGAAGGAGGGGAAAGAAGAGGAGAGAAAGAGAAGATGACAGAAAAGAGATAAAGAGAAGAAGAACGAGAGAGAAGGAGAACGAGAGGAAAGGAGAGGAGAGAGAAGAGGAAACACAAAGAAGAGGAAAGACAGAGAAGAAGAAGAAGAAGACAGAGAAGAAGAAGAAGAAGAAGAAGAAGAAGAAGAAGAAGAAGAAGAAGAAGAAGAAGAAGAAGAAGAAGAAGAAGAAGAAGAAGAAGAAGAAGAAGAAGAGAAGAGGAGAGGAAAGGAGAGAGAAAGAGAAGGAGAAAGGGGAAAGAAGGGGTGGAAGAGAAGTGAGGGGGGGTTTGGTTGTTTTTAGGTTTAAAAAAATTAGATTTTGACAGAAATTCCGTCGAAAATTTAGTGTTCTCATGGAAAAATCTGTCGAAAAATACATATATTCTGACAGATTTATATTCCATAGGATATTTCCAACGGATTTTCGACAGAATTGTTGAATTCGTCGGAAATTTCCGACAGAGCATATATCCGTCGGAAATTTTGCATTTTCCGACGGAAAAACATGTCCGTCGAAAATTGTCCGTCGGAATTTGGCCTATTTCTAGTAGGTAAAAATGAAGGTTATAATCCTGTTTTTTTTTTTTTTTGCAAATTTTGTTGTTTTTTTTTCCAAATTTGAATTGAATGCGTGATATGTTCCTCGAGATCATATGAGTTGATTTGGAATCATAATAAACCTACAAATATGCGTATAGAGTTAGGAAAATTAAAATACGAAGTAAGTTAATTTATCTTAGCGTGATTAACCACATTTATAATCTTCAAAATTTTGTCATTGCAGTGATAAGATTTAGCATTTCATAAACACATACTTCCTTTGTTTCTTTATAGTTGCAACACTTCTCTTTTCACACTTGTCGATACATGATTTCAATCATTAATATCTTTAATTACTAATATGTAAAAATTATAAACATTTGATATTAAAATAGTATAAATCGAGACGAATCTAACAAGATCTCATATGACTATATTTTTGCATAGCTACAAATCATAAAAACTAGTCAAAAGTGGAACACATGAATAGTGTAAAAGTCAAACTAAAAAAAAAATTGGCAAAAATGCTATATTGAGTAGACTTATTTATTTATTTATTATTTAGCCACTTCCCTACCTTTTAAAAGGTATGAAAAAACACTTGTGAATAATGCAAGGACAATTATATTTCTAGAATATTTGTTCACCTATATACCCCTATTGATGTGATGCTAATTGTGATTTGTGATTTAGTGATTAAAATCTCATGAATAGTGTTTATGCTAAATTTCGCACTTAGGATTTGATGTGGGTATACGGGCTACGAAACAACTAAATTAAAATAGGGAACATAAAATGCGGAAAGTAAATGACGGAAAAATACAGGAAAAGAGGGAAAGACATGATATGGTGACGCGGAAAACCCCAATAAGATGGGTAAACACCGCGAGTGACAATGAGTCCACCAATCCACTATAATATGGGCATAAAGCTAATAATTACAATTACAATATATATTTAACGCTTGATGACATAAAAGAGTATAATTAAATGTATGTATATTAGGCGTAGGACTAGTCTAGTACGGCAGGGAGATTGATTAGGTGTAGTATTGTGTGTAAAAATATATCTTTGCAATAGTATACAAAAAATTAAAATATACTAGCATGGGGGGAGTATTTGTAGTGGAATATCTATGTGGCGGAAGATCAAATGGCTTGTTTAATATATAACAATGCTATGGTTGTTCTTGGGATTATGAGGAAGGTTTAGGATAAATAAAGTAGATAATATATATGGGGTTAATCATGAATGAGTGAGTGGAATCTAGAGAAAAAGGATAATAGAGGGGAAATGCATGTTATACCTGGGAAATGGCTTAGTCTTTATGAGAGGAAAGTGATTCTATTTATAAGGTATTTAGATAGGTTGTTGGAGTATAGTGGGGTGTCCTCCATGAAAATAGGAAATAGTTGTTGACGTTTTTACTTGGTCTTCCGATAAATGTGGACTTGTTT